GGGATGTCGGATTTCGGGGTCAGTGCAATGTGCAGAGACTCTTAAAACTCTAATAAAGTGCTTCCGGGACATAATGCTGGAGTTTCCTATTCTGGAAAGGCACATGTTCAGAAATCTGTAACCCAGTGTTTCTCAACCTGGGGGTCGGGACCCCTGGAGGGGTCACGAGAGGGTTTCAGAGGGGTCACCAAAGCCCATTAGAAGACACATATTTCTGATGGTCTTAAGAATCCTTTTGGCATAGTCGTTTGGGTTCACAGTGTTCTCTAGATGTAGGTGAACTACATCTCCCCTAAATCACTGTCAGTTCATCCAAAATCCCTCCAGTATTTTCTGTTGGTTATGGGGGTTCTGTGTGGGACATTTGGCCCATTTCTATCGGTGGTGTGATTCAGAGCGCTCTTTGATTTTAGGTGAACTATAAATCCCAGCAGTAACTCCCAAATGACAAGCTTTCCCCAAATTCCACCAGTGTTCACATTTGGGCATATTGAGTATCCGTGCCAAGTTTGATCCAGATCTATCATTGTTTGAGTCCATAGTGCTCTCTGGATGCAGATGAACTACAACTCCAAAACTCAAGGTCAATGCCTACCAAACACTTCCAGTATTTTCTCTTGGTCATGGGAGTTCTGTGCACCAAGTTTTGTCCAATTCCATCATTGGTGGGGTTCAGAATGCTCTTTGATTGTAGGTGAACTATAAATCACAGTAACTACAACTCCCAAATGGCAAAATCAAATCCAACCCCACCAGTATTGAAATTTGGCATATTGGGTAAGGTAAGGTAAAAGTTTTCCCCTGACATTGAGTCCAGTCATGTCCAAGACTGGGAGTTGGTGCTCAATTTCTACTCCGAAGAGCTGGTGTTGTCCATAGACACCTCCAAAGCCAACATGACTGCATGGAGCTCAGTTATTGGGTATTTGTGCCAAATTTGGTCTAGTGCATGAAAATTCATCTTGCATTTCAGATATTTCTATTATGATTCATAACAGTAACACAATTACTATTAGGAAGTAGCAACGATAATAATTTTTGGTTGGGGGGTCACCACAACATGAGGCACTGTTTTAAGGGGTCATGGCATTAGGAAGGTTGAGAAACACTGCGTAACCCATCATCCTCCTTGTCCTGAGGAAACTCAGGCTCAGAAAGCTCAGGCTCAAACCAAGATCAAAACCAAAGTCCCAAAGAGCCAAAAGCTTTCCCCAAAAGCTGGGGCAATACCAAAGAATCATAGAATCACAGAGTTGGAAGGGACCTCATGGGCCATCCAGTCCAACCCCCTGCCAAGAAGCAGGAATATTGCATTCAAAGCACCCCTGACAGATGGCCATCCAGCCTCTGTTTAAAAGCTTCCAAAGATATACCCTTTAAATTTCTGGATAAATTTTCCTTTGCCCCCACTGGGCGCATATATATTGCAGATTAAAATTTTAAGACCGTTCGTATTAACCAAAACTCCTAGTATTCTCCCATCGTCACCTTTAAAGGCTAGGCTGGATATTAAACGTTCTTTAATGTATGTAGCTACACTCAAAGAAGATCCCAAAAGAGTAACACGACTAAAACAACAAACTGGAGTAACTTCCTCCAATACTTAGAGGAGGTTAAAAAGGAATAACTAGTAATAACAATAACAATTAAAAAATAAATAAATAATATTAATAATATTATTAGGAGGGGTGTAGGGGCGGAGTGTCGGTGGGTGTGGGCGGGGCTTTGGCGGAGTGGGGAGGGAGGTGCGGAGGGTGCGTTGGCCTTTGGCCATGTGCGCGCGCCGGTGACTTTGCGCCATTGCGCATGCTCAGTTGTTTTGTCCTTTTGTGAGTGTGTTGTTGTGTTGTTTTTTATTTTGTTTCGATTTGTTTGTACCTTGTGGGTTGAGGTGTGTGCATGGGAATTTTGGTTAATTTTCGTTGGGGTTTTTTTGAGTTTTGCTGTCCCGTTGAACGCCCCTTACAGATTTATATATATAGATATGCATGTACACATATATAAGCAAACACACATATATACAAAAATATATACACACATATACACAATATGCATGTACACAAACACACAAATACACAAATTTATACACACATATATACACCCACATATATATATGCAAACACATATATATACACAGATACACAAACACACACATATATACACACACAAAACACATATACACAGACTGGGCCACAGCAACGCATGGTAGGGGACGGCTAGTTATTATAACTACAGCTCCCAAACTCAAGGTCAATGGCCATCAACTCCTTCCAGTATTTTCTTTTGGTCATGGGATTTCTGTGTGCTAAGTTTGGCTCAATTCTATCATTGGTGCAGTTCAGAATGCTCTTTGATTGTAGGTGAACTATAAATCCCAGCAACTACAATTCCCAAATGACATGGCAGCATAGTGCACATGAGCAGGCGAGGGGGAGCATGTGAGGCTGGAAGGACTGGACCTCCAACCCCACCAGTATTCACATTTGGGCGCATTGGGTATTTGTGCCCAATTTAATCCAGGGAATGAAAACACGTCCTGGATATCAGATATTTACATGACGATTCAGAACAGTAGCAAAATTACAGTTCTGAAGTAGCAACAGAAATAATGTTATGGTTGGGTGTCACCACAACATGAGGAACTGTATTAAGGGGTCGCGGCATTAGGAAGGCTGAGAAACAGTGCTCTAGAGCAGTGGTTCTCGACCTTCCTAATGCTGCGACTCCTTAATACAGTTCCTCATGCTGTGGTGACCCCCCAACCATAAAATTATGGGGGGATAATTTTAATGGGGAGGATTGATTTTGACATTTGGGATTTATAGTTCACCTACAATCAAAGAGCATTCTGAACTCCACCAATGATGGAATTGAACCAAACCTGGAACACCGAACTCCCATGCCCAACAGAAAATACTGGAAGGGTTTAGGGGACATTGACCTTGAGTTTGGGAGTTGTAGTTCACCTACATCCAGATAGCACTGTGGACTCAAACAATTATGGATCTGGACCAAACTATGCCCACATGTCAATACTGGTTGAATTTGGGGAAAATAGACTTGACATGTAGGAGTGTAGTTGCTGGGATTTATAGTTCACCTACAATCAAAGAGCATTCTGAACTCCAGTAACAATGGAATTGAACCAAGCTTGGCACACAGAGCTCCCATGCCCAACAGGAAATACTGGAAGGGTTTAGTGGACATAGACCTCGAGTTTGGGAGTTGTAGTTCACCTACATCCAGAGAGCAGTGTGGAATCAAACAATGATGGATCTGGACCAAACTATGCCCACATGTCAACACTGGTGAATTTTGGGGAAAATAGACTTGACATTTGGGAGTTGTAGCTGGTGGGATTTATAGTTCACCTACAATCAGAGAGCACTCTGAACCCCACCAGTGGTAGAACTGGGCCAAACTTCCCACACAGAGACCCCCCATGACCAACAGAAAATATGCGTTTTCTGATGGTCTTCGGCGACCCCTCTGACATCCCCTCGCGACCCCCCCCCAGGGGTCCTGACCCCCAGGTCGAGAAACGCTGCTCTAGAGCAATGCCATGGCAACATGGTACCGGCAACATAGTTCCAGTCCTCTCACCCGATGGTCGGATTCATTCTGTATAATGTGAGAGACTAACATGGTTGTGCAATGGTACACTGGTCAACTTGTGCTTGAAATAGATATGAATGGAGGCAAATAGAGATGTTTTGCGTGAAAGCTAAGGAATGGATCATCTAAGTAACTAAGTAAGTGACTAAGTCTCTGATCCCCACGCCAGCCTTCTGATGACCCAGACCTGGATGCGCCTGGAGAGACTCACAAGTCTGATTATTATTCGTTTTATTTGGCAGTCGCACAGATGAAACCGGACTCCTGCGAAAGACTAACATGGCTCACTTTGCTCCAAAAAGGTTTTTGGAGAGAGGCCGAATCCTAATATTTCCCATAGAATCATAGAATCAAAGAGTTGGAAGAGACCTCATGGGCCATCCAGTCCAACCCCATTCGGCCAAGAAGCAGGAATATTGCATTCAAATCACCCCTGACAGATGGCCATCCAGCCTCTGTTTAAAAGCTTCCAAAGAAGGAGCCTCCACCACACTCCGGGGCAGAGAGTTCCACTGCTGAACGGCTCTCACAGTCAGGAAGTTCTTCCTCATGTTCAGATGGAATCTCCTTTCTTGTAGTTTGAAGCCATTGTTCCGCATCCTAGTCTCCAAGGAAGTGGAAAACAAGCTTGCTCCCTCCTCCCTGTGGCTTCCTCTCACATATTGATACATGGCTATCATATCTCCTCTCAGCCTTCTCTTCTTCAGGCTAAACATGCCCAGCTCCTTAAGCCGCTCCTCATAGGGCTTGTTCTCCAGACCCTTGATCATTTTAGTCGCTCACCTCACATTCCAGCTTGTCAATATCTCTCTTCGATTGTGGTGCCCAGAATTGGACACAATATTCCAGGTGTGGTCTAACCAAAGCGGAATAGAGGGGTAGCATGACTTCCTTAGATCTAGACACTATGTTCCTATTGATGCAGGCCAAAATCCCATTGGCTTTTTTTGCCGCCGCATCACATTGTTGGCTCATGTTTAACTTGTTGTCCACGAGGACTCCCAAGATCTGTTTCACACGTACTGCTCTCAAGCCAGGCATCGTCCCCCATTCTGTATCTTTGCTTTTTTTTTCCTGCCAAAGTGGAGTATCTTGCATTTGTCACTGTTAAACTTCATTTTGTTAGTTTTGGCCCATCTCTCTAATCTGTCAAGATCGTTTTGAATCCTGCTCCTGTCCTCTGGAGTATTGGCTAGTTCCATATTAGTTCCATAAAAGATACATATTAAAATGCATTTCTATAAAATAGATACCAACCTGATCCCTTCCTTGAGTTCTGTTTCCATCCGCTCAAAATTGAAAGTAGGGGGACCAGACGGGATCCTCTTGCACAATGGGAAATCTGAGGCAACTCTGAGGCCCTGCAATAAAAAAGGAAGCCTTAGAAGACATTGTTTGCAGAAAAAAGGGAAGCCTCTGAGACTGTGGAAAGGGAGCGAGCAAATAGGGTGATCAAGCCCTTGGAACCCTCCGGTAAGTGGATTTAGCTCTTTCATCCGCATACAAGAAGGAATAAGTACCAGACTTCTAGGTTACCCAAAAGCAAAGCAGAGGGAAGGAGAGAAAAAATCCTGGCTACAGTCAAGGAGTCAGTCACAGCTTCCCTTTTTCGGGCGCAGAAACAGAACTGTGAATTGGTGCGGCTTTGAATCCCTTTGAATAGAGATTGATAATGCTATGTAACACAATGATTTTTGTTCCTGGGTTATCATTGTCATCATTTCCTCATTAGTTCTGTCATTAAAACATGGGAAAATTGGGATGTTGTTGTGTAGTTGTACAGTTGTGCTTACGGGAGAATACGGGAGAAAATGTTGCTAGAACCTGGGAGAAAATGCTGCTAGAATCTAGGATAAAATGCTGCTAGAATAAGGGAGAAAGTGCTACTAGAACCTGGAAGAAAACACTGCTAGAATATGGGAGAAAATGCTGCCAGAATATGGGAGAAAATGCTGCTAGAACCTGGGAGAAAATGCTACTAAAACTTGGGAGAAAATGCTGCCAGAACACAGGAGAAAATGCTGCTAGAACCCGGGAGAAAATTCTGCCAGAACCTGGGAGAAAATGCTACTAAAACATGAGAGGAAATGCTGCTAGAACATACGAGGAAATGATGCTAGAACCTGGGATAAAATGCTGCTAAAACATGGGAGAAAATGTTTTCAGAACCTGGGAGAAAACGCTGTTAGAACACGGGAGGAAATGGTGCTAGAACATAGGAGGAAATGGTGCTAGAACCTGGGAGACAATGTTGCTAGAACCTGGAAGAAAACACTGCTAGAATATGGGAGAAAATGCTGCCAGAATATGGGAGAAAATGCTGCTAGAACCTGGGAGAAAATGCTGCTAGAATCTAGGACAAAATGCTGCTAGAATAAGGGAGAAAGTGCTACTAGAACCTGGAAGAAAACACTGCCAGAATATGGGAGAAAATGCTGCCAGAACATGGAAGAAAATTCTGCCAGAACCTGGGAGAAAATGTTATTAAAACATGGGAGAAAACGCTGTTAGAACATGAGAGGAAATGCTGCGAGAACACAAGAGAAAATGCTGCTAGAACCTGGGAGAAAATGCTGCTAGAACCTGGGAGAAAATGCTGCTAGAACATACGAGGAAATGATGCTAGAACCTGGGATAAAATGCTGCTAAAACATGGGAGAAAATGTTTTCAGAACCCGAGAGAAAACACTGTTAGAACACGGGAGGAATTGGTGCTAGAACATAGGACGAAATGGTGCTAGAACCCGGGAGACATTGTTGCTAGAACCTGGGAGAAAATGCAGCTAAAACATGGAAGAAAATGCTGCCAGAACACGGGAGAAAACGCTGCTAGAACACGAGAGGAAATGCTGCTAGAACATAGGAGGAAACGATGCTAGAACCCGGGAGAAAATATTGCTAGAACCTGGGAGAAAATGCTGCTAAAACATGGGAGAAAATGCTGCCAGAACATGGGAGAAAATTCTGCCAGAACCTGGGAGAAAATGTTACTAAAACATGGGAGAAAACACTGTTAGAACACGAGAGGAAATGCTGCCAGAACACAGGAGAAAATGCTCATAGAACCTGGGAGAAAATGCTGCTAGAACTGCACAAACTTTTGTCTTTGCAGGAAGGACATCTTGCAGCACATTTTGCTATACTTTTCCAATGAATCTTTCATCATTGAGTCTCCACCAACTAGTTTGTGGCAGCCACAAAAATGACTATGTTTCAGGAGTAGAGCAACGACTTTCAAAGTCAGGACTGCACAATTAAACAAGAATAACACTTTCAAACCAGGAAGAAGACCAAAAAAAATTGCAAATTTTGTGACATAGTGTAATAGTTATCCTGCCTCTTTGCACCACCGGCAGATGCAATAACAGATAATAATAATAATAATAATAATAATAATAATAATAATAATAATAGTTGCCCTGTCTCTTTGCACCACCAGAGGTTGCAATGACAAATGGGAATGCTCCGAAATAAACGGCACTTGCAATAATTTGTGTTTGCAATGCTTTGCCAGAGACGGTTTTGGATGCCAAAAAAAGCAGGAGGGAGGGCCAGATCCGGCCCACTTGGCACCGGTCTCGGGGCAAGTCTTCCCTCCTCCAAAAACAGGACAGATGAAGCCCGCCTTGCACTCGGCTCTGCTTTCTCTTCAACTGGGTCAGCTTTGCAGGGTTGACGTTAACCTCCATGCCCCCAAATGGCTGACTCTTTGCTCAACCACTCCTGGCCTTCCTTCTCCCGCCGATGGATGAAGCGGTGGTCCTTCAAGAGAGGTAGGGTGCAACTGGGATGCCCATAAGTCATTGGATCCTAGTATTGGGACCCTAAAAGGCCATCCAGCCCACCCCTTCCTGCCAAGACATGGCCTCTGTGAGGTGGAAGCTTCCTAAAATAGGCAGCCTTGGCTGAAGTTGTTGTTGTTGTTGTTGTTGTTGTTGTTGTGTTTATAATATAACTAAGATAGGAAGGCTAGGCTGAAGATGATGATGATGATGATGATTATTATTATTATTGTGAGATTTCCGAGAAAATTGTTGATTGACAACAACAAGCAACACAGTATTGGGAAACTAAAAAGGCGCCCATATGGGGTCTCAAGCGTTGGGTTCGAATGTTGGGGCCGCCCCACAAGCTATTGAACTAACTAAACTATATTGATTATATGGCTCTTTTAACTGATTCTACTTTAATAGAGGTTGTTTTGTTGAATTTATATACCTGGTTTATGTAATGCAGCGGTCCGTGGACTAAAATATGATTCATGGTCTCACAGTTGCAACGAGAGAGCCCCCAGTGGCGCAGTGGGTTAAAGCCCTGTGCCGGCAGGACTGAAGACCAATAGGTCGCAGGTTCGAATCCAGGGAGAGGCGGATGAGCTCCCTCTATCAGCTCCAGCTCCTCATGCGGGGACATGAGAGATGCCTCCCACAAGGATGATAAAAACATTAATTCATCCGGGCGTCCCCTGGGCAAATGTCCTTGCAGACGGCCAATTCTCTCACACCAGAAGCGACTTGCAGTTTCTCAAGTTGCTCCTGACACGACCAAAACAAAAAAAGTTGCAACGAGAGCGACTGGTCTTGCGAAACCTTCTTATAGTGCGGAGGTTTATTAAATATGTGATTTTCTGTGGGTGAGGAGATGGCGGTTACTGAATGGCATATATTCTGTATTGGAAACTAGAGCTGATGTGGTCTATCCAATGCAGTTTTCTGAATCAGCACCCCAAATAACCAAACCGAATCTAAAGTTGACCACAAAACTGATTTGTAACCCTTTTGGTATTGTATTGTCGAAGGCTTTCATGGCCGGAATCACTAGGTTCTTGTGGGTTTTTTCGGGCTATAGGGCCATGTTCTAGAGGCATTTCTCCTGATGTTTCGCCTGCATCTATGGCAAGCATCCTCAGAGGTAGTGAGTATTAATGTTGGTATTAATGTTGGAGAGTGGTCCCTGGTCAAAAAAAGGTTGGGAATGACTGCTGTTATGTTATTATTGTGTTCATGTTGATGTATTTTATGTATCGCATCTTTGTGTGCTATTTTGTAAGCCGCCCCGACTACCTATGGGAGATGGTGGCGGGGTATAAAGTTTATAATTATTTGATACATAACATGCTGCGTATACAGCAACCAAGATTACTCAGTGCTAGCATTTGTATTGGATCCCACGTCGGACACTTTCCAAGTGTCTAGGACTGTGTGATATATCAGCAAATAATGTGTGCAGATCCGAGTAGAGTGGCCTTTTGCAGCTGACAGGTGGTGATTTTGTTAGCGCCAATTGTTTTTAAGTGCAGGCCAAGGTCTTTAGACACTGCACCCAGTGTGTGAATCACCACTGGGACCGCCTTTATTGGTTATTATTATTATTAATATTATTATTATTATTATTATCTCTCTATGGTTACATCTTGCCTCTCTCCATGCTCACAGGAACAGAGCAACAGAGGCAGTTGAGCAGATCAGCAGCTGAAGTGAAGATATTATTCTTATTCTTATTTATAATACAACTAAAGGAGGTTAGGCTGAAGACATGTTTATTGATTTATACTATAACTAAGAAGGCTATAATATAATATATAACTAATATATAATATGACTAATATATAATATAATATATAACTAAAATATATAATATAATATAATATAATATAATATAATATAATATAATATAATCTAGATAAATAAAAATGTAATGTTTGTTTGTGGGATTAACAGAACTCAAAAACCACTGGAGGAATTGACACCAAATTTGGATACACAAGATACCTAACAACCCAATGTATGTCCTTCACTCAAAAAAATTGATTTTGTCATTTGGGAGTTGTAGTTGCTGGGATTTATAGTTCACCTACAATCAAAGAGCATTCTGAACCCCACCAACGATGGAATTGAACCAAACTTGGCATACAGGACTCCCATGACCAACAGAAAACACTAGAAGGGTTTGGCGGGCATTGACATTGAGTTTGGGAGTTGTAGTTCACCTACATCCAGAGATCACCGTGGACTCAATGATAGATCTGGACCAAACTCTACACGAATACTCATATGCCCAAATGTGAACACTGGTGGAGTTTGGGGAAAATAGAATCGTGACATTTTGGAGTTGTAATTGCTGGGATTTATAGTTCACCTACAATCAAAGAGCATTCTGAACCCCACCAACGATAGAATTGGGCCAAACCTCCCACACAGAACCCCCATGTGGGCCACAGCAATGTGTGGCAGGGGATGGGTATTATATAACTAAAATATAATATAATATATAAATAAGGTAGGCAGACTAGGCTGAAGATATTATTATTATTATTATGTTTATTTATTTATAATATAACTAAGATAGCTAATATATTATATTAATATATAATATAATGCAACTAATTTATAACTATATATATATATATATATATATATATATATAACGGTCAATGACCAAAGAATGCACACATGTCAGAATAGGAACATATACATTTAGGTACCAAGAAACAATGTCAAAATCAAAGCCAAACTCTGGTTCCTCTTCAGATCATATACATCATAATATAAGCTTCAACAATGTATAGGAGCCCTTGAGTCTATACTACTTGGAAAAAAGTTATAGAAGACTTTTTGAAATGAACTACATTTCTCTATCGGGAAGTTTAAGGCTTAATATCAAACTATTATTGTTATAATTATTATATATATCCCTATGCATATCTCATGGTATGCTCATGGCCTTTTATGGTCTCCCTTACAGAGGCCGACTGGGTCTGCTTTGTGTCGCGATCCAGAGAAAGGCGGACGGAAATCGATCAAAAAGTTTCTGTTTGGAGAATGGAATTATTGTGCCGCTTGGGAGTCTCCTCCTCTCAGTAGAATCGTATTATTATATTTAGGATTCTAAATATAATATAGCTAGGGTTCTAAATATAAACCTTAGGATTCTATGGTCCTATCTTTAGCCTTGATTTCTCTCTCCATGAACCCATTAAAGGAGGGATTGAATGGTGCCTTCCTTGCATTCATAGGGTTGGACTTTGAGGTCTCTTCCAAATTCTAGGACTATGTGATGCTACCTATAGCCTTATTTCTCTCTCCATGAATGCATTAATGTCTATAAAGCTGGATGGCCGTCTGTTGGGAGGGATTGGATGGTGTCGTCCCTGCATTCACGGGGTTGGACTGGATGGCCTTTTGGGACCCCTTCCAAACTCTAGGATTGCATGATACTATCTATACCCTTGATTTATCTCCATGAATGCATTCATTCCTATGAAACTGGATGGTCCTCTATCGGGAGGGATCAAATGGTGCCTTCCTTGCATTCATGGGGTTGGACTAGATGGCCTTTGAACTCTCTTTTAGGATTGTATTATTTCATAGCCTTATTTCTCTCTCCAAGAACCCATTAATCTCTATGAAACTGGATGACCATCTCTTGGGAGGGATCAGATTGTACCTTCCTGCCTGATTGAAGGTTGGATGCCTTTGAAGTCTCTTCCAAACTCTAAGATTATATTTATAGACTTATTTTCTCTCCATGAACCCATTCATGTCTATGAGGCTGGATGGCCTTCTGTTGGGAGGGATTGAATTGCGCTTTCTTGCTTTCATGTCGTTGGGCTGGATGGCCTTTTGGAACCCCATTCAACTCTCGGTGGACTGTATGATTCCATAGCATTATTTCTCTCCATGATCCCATTAACATCTATGAGGTTGGACCCATTAATGTGTCTGAAACTGAATGGCCCTCTGTCGGGAGCGATCAAATGGCGCCTTCTAGCATTCATGCAGTTGGACTGGATAGCCTTCTATTAGTCCATAGCCTTATTTCTTTCTCCATTAACCCATTCATGTCCACGAGGCTGGATGGTCCTCTGTCGGGAGAGATAGATTGCTGCCTTCTCTGCATTCATGGGGTTGGACTGGATGGCCTTTTTGCACCCCTTCCAAACTCTAAGATTATATGGTGCTATAGCTTTTATTTGTCTTCATGAACCCCTTCATGTCTATAAGGCTGGATGGCCATCTGTCGGGAGGGATTGAACGATGCCTTCCTTGCATTCATGGGGTTGGATTGGATGGCCTTTTGGGATCCCTTCCAAACTCTAGGATTGTATGATGCTATAGCCTTGATTTCTCTCTCCACGAATCCATTCATGTCTATGAGGCTGGATGGCCCTCTGTTGGAAGGGATCAGATTGTATCTTCCTGCCTAATTGAAGGTTGAACTCTAGGATTGTGTGATTCCATAGCCTTATTTCTCTCCATGACCCCATTAAAGTCTATGAAACGGAACCCATTAATGTGCCTGAAACCAGATGGCCATCTGTTAGGAGGGATCAGATGGTGCCTATCCTGCATTCATGGGTTTGGACTGGATGGCCTTTTGGGAACCCTAGGATTGTAGGATGCTATAGCCTTGATTTCTCTCTCCATGAAGCTATTAATGTCTATGAAACTGGATGGCCCTCTGTCAGGAGGGATTGGACGGTACCTTCCTTGCATTCATGGTGTTGGATTGGATGGCCTTTTGGGACCCATTTCAGACTCTAGGATTGTATGATGCTATAGCCTTGATTTCTCTCTCCACAAACCCATTCATGTCTATGAGGCTGGATGGCCCTCTGTCGGGAGGGATCAGATTGTGTCTTCCTTCCTGATTGTAGGTTGAACTCTAGGATTGTATGATGCTATTGCCTTGATTTCTGTCCCATGAACCTTCTAAAGTCTTTGAAGCTGGATGGCCTCTGTCGGGAGAGATTGAATGGTGCCTTCCCTGCATTCACACAGTTGGACTGGATGGCCTTTGAGGTCTCTTCCAAACTCTAGGATTCTATTATTCTATACCCTTGATTTCTCTCTCCATGAACCCATTCATGTCTATGAAACTGGATGGCCCTCTGCCAGGAGTGATCGAATGATGCCTTCTCTGCCTTGATGGGATTGGAGAGGGAAGGGCGAGTGGTTGGCATTCCCTTTCCTCGCAGGCCTGCCTTCCTTCTTCCTTCCTTTGCACATTGCCTAAAAAGGTCTCCCCGGTGGTGGCGCATGGCAGCCGGCCCGGAAGATTAATGGCTGGCGCTCCGTGGAAGGAGTCCCTGCTTGAACCCTGCGCACTGTGCATGAAAAGCCCCCCTTATTATTATTATTCCTATTACAAGGTTCAGGTACATAACAACACAGCACACACGTGTAATAGGTCCATGTGTCTGGGATTTGTCTCTGAATATTGGGGTCTTCCCAAGGGCCTAGGATATTAGAGATATTTACGAGGGGCATTCATAGAATCATAGAGTTGGAAGAGACCTCATGGGCCATCCAGTCCAACCCCCTGCCAAGAAGCAGAAAAATTGCATTCAAAGCAACCCCGACAGATGGCCATCCAGCCTCTGTTTAAAAGCTTCCAAAGAAGGAGCCTCCACCACACTCTGGGGCAGAGAGTTCCACTGCTGAACAGCTCTCACAGTCAGGAAGTTCTTCCTCATGTTCAGATGGAATCTCCTCTCTTGTAGTTTGAAGCCATTGTTCCGCGTCCTAGTCTCCAAGGAAGCAGAAAACGAGCTTGCTCCCTCCTCCCTGTGACTTCCTCTCACATATTTATACATGGCTATCATATCTCCTCTCAGCCTTCTCTTCTTCAGGCTAAACATGCCCAGCTCTTTGAGCCGCTCCTCATAGGGCTTGTTTGCAAGACCCTTGATAATTTTAGTCGCCCTCCTCTGGACACATTCCAGCTTGTCAATATCTCTCTTCAATTGCGGTGCCCAGAATTGGACACAGTATTCCAGGTGTGGTCTAACCTGAGCGGAATAGAGGGGTAGCGTGAATTCCCTCGATCTAGACACTATGCTCCTATTGATGCAGGCCAAAATCACATTGGCTTTTTTTGCCGCCACATCACATCGTTGGTTCATGTTTAATTTGTTGTCCACGATTCAATAAAGATTTCCCTTGACCCACTTCCTGTGGACTGAGCGCAGTGAAACTTGGCCCAGTTCTGAGTCCTTTTCTCCATCGGTGCCACCTAGGGACACACACTTCTCCCATCTTTTGAAGCAACTGTAACCACCTCGCTTGTAGAAGTTGACAGGTTTCTCCAAAAGCCACGTTGTGACTTTGGAAATCAGAGTCTCCCCATCTGAGAAATGCTTGACCTTGCAAAATAACTTCCTTGTTGGAAAGAGGTGGAAGTCCAATGGTGAGAGATTTGTGAAGAAGGGGGATGCGGTGGAAAGCCACAGGAACATGCTTCTTCCATTTGGGCAACAGGTGATTTCAAAATCATCTGGGCGTCCCCTGGGCAACGTCCTTGCAGACGGCCAATTCTCTCACACCAAAAGCGACTTGCAGTTTCTCAAGTTGCTCCTGACACGACAAAAACAAAACAAAAAAACAAAACAGGTGATTTGTGAACTGGTGCATTTCTTTGCAGAAGGCGGACACTTTTGGGGAGCATGCCACATTGTCTCTTGGTTTCGATGGCCTCTCACAATTTCCGCAGCAGTGAAGTATAGTCTGCCCCAGTGATCAAGGCACCCTTTCCTAGGAAATCCATCCACACTACTCCGTGCTGGACCCAAAATCCTGTGAGCATGACCTTGCCTGCCGAGGGTTGGGCATGTACCTTCTTTGGAGGTGCTGAGTCAGAATGCTTCCATTGCATCAACTGGACTTGAGTCTCAGGATCAGCCTTCACCCTTCAGCCTGTCATTGAACATCAAGAAAACCAAAGTGTTGTTCCAGCAGTCACCAGCCAATCCCTCTCCAATGCCAGAGATACAGCTTAATGGTATAACAGTAGAAAATGTTGACCATTTCCGCTCCCTTGGCAGCCACCTCTCCACCAAAGTCAACATCGACACCAAAATACAACACCGCCTGAGCTCTGCGAGTGCAGCATTTTTCCATATGAAGTACAGAGTGTTTGAGGACCGGGACATCCGTAGAGATACCAAGGTGCTTGCTTATAAAGCTATTGTCCTCCCAACCCTGCTATATGCCTGCGAAACGTGGACTGTCTACAGATGTCACATGCAACTCCTGGAACGATTCCATCAGCGTTTATTATTACGTTTATTATTATGACATTACTACTACTACTATTATTACCGTTATTATGTTTATATGTATAATGATGATGATGATATTTTGCTTGTTCTTTGCTTGCAGGTTCGGAGTGCAAGCCACCGTCCGGACGAGACTTCCCAACCCAGATCCAAACTGTATCAGCTTCCGGTTGCAGCAGTCCGGACGAGGAGGAGGAGGAGGCCTTTTTCAGCAGCATGGCCGAGGGGCAGGTGAGTGCCTGCAAACGCCGGTCGTAAAAGGGCCTCTTTCAGGAGGGCTTCCTTTGTGTCTTTCTCACCAGGTAGAAAAGGGGGTTGGACTAGATGCCTTTTGGGGGACCCTTCCAACCAGCAGGTTTTAGGTGCGAAGTCGAAAAATTGGGATCTAGCTTTGCAAGCTTATGAGGAAGCTTGGGGATGTTTCGTATGAAGAGGAGAAATCATTATTATTATGACAAACAATAATAATAATAATAATAATAATAATAATAATAATAATTATTATTATTATTATTATTTATCGTGTCAGGAGCAACCAGACAGTTGTATTACATTTTTAACAAAACAAAACAAACAGACAGACAGACAAAACACAAAGTTTGCAGGCTTGGTAGTTGATTAAATGTCCTTTGACCAGTATCTGGCCACTTGGAGTGCCTCTGGTGTTGCCGCAAGGGGGTCCTCCATTGTGCATGTGGCAGGGCTCAGGTTGCATTGCAGCAGGTGGTCAGTGGTTTGCTCTTCTCCACACTCGCATGTCGTGGATTCCACTTTGTAGCCCCATTTCTTAAGATTGGCTCTGCATCTCGTGGTGCCAGAGCGCAGTCTGTTCGGCGCCTTCCAAGTTGCCCAGTCTTCTGTGTGCCCGGGGTGGGGGTGGGGGTCTCTCATTTGGTATCAGCCATTGATTGAGGTTCTGGGTTTGAGCCTGCCACTTTTGGACTCTCGCTTGCTGAGGTGTTCCAGCGAGTGTCTCTGTAGATCTTAGAAAACTATTTCTTGATTTAAGTCGTTGATGTGCTGGCTGATACCCAAACAGGAGATGAGCTGGAGATGTCACTGCCTTGGTCCTTTCACTATTGGCTGCTACTTCCCGGCAGATGTCAGGTGGTGCAATACTGGCTAGGCAGTGTAATTTCTCCGGTGGTGTAGGGCGCAGACACTCCGTGATAATGCGGTATATCTCATTAAGAGCCACATCCACTGTTTTAGCGTGGTGAGATGTGTTCCACACTGGGCATTTATACTCAGCAGCAGAGTAGCATAGTGCAAGGGCAGATGTCTTCACTGTGTCTGGTTGTGATCCCCAGGTTGTGCCAGTCAGCTTATTATTATAATTATTATTAATAATAATAATATAGCAGTAAGTAGAATAATAATAACATATAATTATATTCTATTATATTATTAGCTTAGGGGACCCACGGTGCCCAGGTTATTTGAGAAAGGCGTTGTTTTTGGATGTTAGGTAATATAACTTAGGTAATCTATACCACTATTTATTAGAAAAATGCCAGTCTTTGCTTTTGTTTTTTATGAATGCTCCCATTGGAGATTGCACAAGGATGTGGGTGAACTACAGTTCCCAGATTCCCAGGGCAATCACCCCAAAACCCCACCAGCATTCACAGTTGGCCATGCTGGGTTTGTGTGCCAACTTTGGTCCAGATCTGTCGTTGACTGGGTTCAGTGCTCTATGGATAAGGGAGAACTACAACTCCAAGATTCCCAAGGCAATCACCCCAAAACCCCGCCAGCATTCACAGTTGGCCATGCTGGGCTTGTGTGCCAAGTTTGGTCCAGATCTGTCACTGACTGGGCTCAGTGCTCTATGGATAAGGGAGAACTACAACTCCAAGATTCCAAAGGCAATCACTCCCAAACCCAGCCAGCATGCACAATTGGACATGTTGGCTCTGCGTGACAAGTTTGGTCCGTCGTCGGCTGGGTTTAGTGCTACAACTATATTATTATTCTATTATTATTATTATGTATTGTATTACTATATTATTCTATTATTATTTATTGTATTGTTACTATTTTATTTTTATATTATTACCCTCTATTATAATTATATTTTATATTATTATTCTATTATTATTTATTGTATTATTACTATATCATCATCATCATTCCAGGAGGATGACTCTTCTTCCCTGGAAGCGCGTGCCCACAGCAGCAGCGAAGACCTGCCCTCCCTGGACGGGACTCTCCACGGTTCGGAGTATTACAAAGACCTGGGCCTTTCGGGGGTCCCGGATCCCCATTCGGAGAAAGTAGCCCACTTCCTGGATGAGGGCCACGCCTGTTCCTGCCGCTTGGCAGGGGCCAACCAAGGCCGAGAACCCTGTCCAGGTTTGACCCAAGACAGGTGAGTTTGGCCAGGCAAACAGGCACGGGGTGGAAATCATCATCACTGTTATTAATCATCATCATTAATCACCATTATTATTATTATTATTATTATTATTATTATTATTATTATTATTACCACCATCAGGTTCAGTCTTGACGCTGCCTCCTCCTCCTCCTCGGATGGCCCCGATCTGGAAGAGAAGGCCCTTTCAAAGGGTCCGAAGAGTGGACAAGTGGTGAGTCCCGAGGACGATGGGTGGATAATGGGTGGGTGATGGGTGGCCAGAGTGGACACTCACTTTTCCCTCTTTGCAGGACAGTGGCAGTGCGGGGAAGCGTCTGCGATCCCGATCCGTCCCCTCACCCTATGATGTGGCCCCTTCCCCATTACCCACCCCCCACAGAGCGGAGGTCGCCTTGGCCGTCAGTACGGGTGAGTCGGTCAAGCAGTAAAAACAATAACAATAATAACAACAACAACAATAATAATGCAACTAGAAAAGCTTACACAATACAAGGATTTAAAGATAGAACTGCAAAGACTTTGGCACAAGTCAGTCAAGGGGGTCCCAGTGGTGATCGGCACACTGGGTATTGTATCAGAGGGTGCAGTTGTAGTGCATTTAAAAAATACGAAGTTTAAAAAGCTTGGCAGATCCTTTAACCAGTAGCTGGCCACTTGGAGTTCCTCTGGTGTTACTATAAGGAGGTTCTCCATTGTGCATGTGGCAGGGCTCAGGCTGCATTGTAATAGGTAGTCTGTGGTTTGCTCTTCTCCGCACTTGCATGTCATCGACTCCTGTTTCTTAAGGTTGGCTCTGTATCTCGTGGTGCCCAAGCACAGCCTGTTTAGTGCCTTCCAAGTTGCCCAGTCTTTTGTGTGCCCAGGAGGGAGTCTCTCATTCGGTATCAGTCATGGCTTGAGGTTCTGGGTTTTTGCCTGCCACTTTTGGACTCTTGCTTGCTGAGGTGTTCCAGCAAGTATCTCTGTAGATCTTGGAAAACTATTTCTTGATTGAAGGTGTTGGCGTGTTGGCTGATATCCAAACAGGGGATGGGCCAGAGATGTCAGTGCCTTTTATTATTGGCTGCTACTTCCCGGCATGTCTCATTAAGAGCCACATCTACTGTTTTAACGTGGTGAGATGTATTCCGCACTGGTGACGCATACACAACAGCAGAGTAGCAAAGCACAAGGGCAGATGTCTTCACTGTGTCTGATTGTGATCCCCAGGTTGTGCCAGTCAGCTTTCGTATGATATTTTTCTAGCACCCACTTTTTGCTTCATATTCAAGCAGTGCTTTTTGTAGTTCAGAGCACGGTCCAGGGCAACTCCCAAGTATTTTGGTGTGCTCCAGTGCTCCAGTGGGATTCCTTTCCAGGTCATCCTCAGAGCTTGAGATGCTTGTCTGTTCTTAACATGAAAAGCACACGTCTGCATTTTAGATGGATTAGGAATCAGCTGGTTTTCCCTGTAATAGGCAGTAAGAGCACCTAAAGCTTTGGAGAGCTTTTGTTCAGCCATCTGATGGGCCTATTTTTTCCCATTTTTCCCATAATTCCATGCAAAATAAGTCTCTCCAGAACTTTGTAAAGATGGGTTGCTGTAAGTTTTTTGGCTGTATGGCCATGTTCTAGAAGCATTTCTCCTGAAAAGATGGCACAAGGAGATTGGTCTATAGCTTTTTTTTTACTGACACAAAAACACAGTATGACACAGCCAATGAGATATATAGGCTGGATTTTTAAAATTATTATTATTATTATTATTATTATTATTATTATTATTATTATTATGTAGCCCTGTTTCTTCATGAACCTCTAGTTATGAGGCTGGGTGGCCATCTGTCGGGAGGGATCGGATTGTGTCCTCCTTCCAAGCAGAAAGGGGGTTGCATCCTCCTTTCCATCTTTTCCCTTGCGTTTCAGGGACTGGGCCGCCTGTGTTGGAAGTGATTGGAAGGGACCGTGTGGCCCCGGAGCAAATGTGAGTTGTTGTTGTTAACATTTTTATTATGTTTATTCTGTTTGTTTATACCCTACTTTTTCTCTCCATAAGAGAATCAAAAGTTACTCTCCGTCTCCTTATTGGGATTGAAGAGATTCCTATATCTTAAGTGAGGGGTCCTCAAACTAAGGCCCGGGGGCCAGATACAGCCCTCCAAGGTCATTTACCCGGCCCTCGCTCAGGGTCAACCTAAGTATGAAACGACTTGAAAGCACACAACAACAACAACAATCCTATCTCATCAGCCAAAAGCAGGCCCACACTTCCCATTGAAATACTAATAAGTTTATATTTGTTAAAATTGTTCTTCATGTTAATTATTCTATTGTTTCTAAGTGGTTTTTGCACTACAAATAAGATAAGTGCAGTGTGCATAGGAATTCATTCATGTTTTTATTCAAATTATAATCTGGCCCTCCAACAGTTTGAGGGACTGCGATCTGGCCCTCTGTTTAAAAAGTTTGAGGACCCTTGTCTTAAATTGTTCTTATCTTAAGTCGTTGTTGTTAATAATAATACTAATAATAATACCTGCTTTTGGGGGGAGAAATTAATTCACTCCTTCTCCCAACAGGCTGATGGTTCAGCAGGTGCTGAAGGAGCTGACACAGTTCCACGGGTGAGCCTCAGATTACAATTCCCATCGTCCTGGTTATGGATCGAATGTGGATTTTATTGCCTTTTGGGTGTGTGTGTGTATATATAAAATACACACATACACACACATACAAACTTATATATAGGTTGTTTCCCTTTCAGGGCAAAGCGAGGTCTGCGAGTGCCAGAGGTTGTAGAAGCAGCACCTCCCCAAAACCTGACCTGGTTCGAGTTTCTCTCCAATGAGTGAGTGACATACAATCAATAATCCAGAATTGTTTTATATTTTACTAGCTTGGGGACCCGGCGGTGCCTGGGTTATTTGAAAAAGGCACTGTTTGTCTGTGTTGCAGTTTTAGTCTAGATCCAATGTCATCTGGGTTCAGTGGGTGCGGGTGAACTACAACTCCCATATGCAAGTCCCATCGTTCATGGTCCATCCTTCTCCAAACTGCACTAGGATGTGGTGTGGGTCATGGGGGCTCTGTGTGCTAAGTTTGGTTCAATTCCATTGTTGGTGGAGTTCAGAATGCTTTGATTGTAGGTGAACTATAAATCCCAGCAACTACAACTCCCAAATGACAAAATCATTTTCTTTTGAGTGCTGGTCACTCCTTGGGTTAGTTGGTGTCTTGTGGCCAAATTTGGTGTCAATTCGTCCAGTGGTTTTTGAGTTAATCCCACAAACGAACATTACATTTTTATTTATATACTAGCTATCTCCTGCCATGCGTTGCTGTGGCCCAGTCTGGTGATCTAGAAAATAAAGTAACAAGAAAATGTTGGTTTCTAATATATGTAATGTCTTTCTGCTTGTGGGTAAACAGTATTTCTTGCTGTTTCTTTGTCAGTGTTAATGTGGAGATTGTCTGGTTTGCCTACTCTGGAATATGCAACATATAATTGTCCTTCTTTAGGGGTCCCTTTCAAATCTATAATATATCTCTCTGTGTGTGAATCATATATCTATCTGTATCTATGGCTGGATGGCTCTTTGTCAAGAGGGTTTTGATTACGTTTTCTTGCACTGATGAAGGGAGTTGGACTGGGTGGCCTTAAGTATTTTGTGTTGGTCATGGGGATTCTGTGTAGGAAGTTTGCCCCAATTCTGTCGTTGGTGGGGTTCAGAATACTCTTTGATTGTAGGTGAACTATAAATCCCAACAACTACAACTCCCAAATGACAAAATCAAAAATTTTGCATGAAGGACATACATTGGGTTTTTAGGTGTATGCTGTCCAAATTTGGTGTCAATTGGCCCATTGGCTTTTGAGTTCTGTTAATCCCACAAACGAACATTACATTTTTATTTATATAGACTAGCTGTACCCACCACACGTTGCTGTGCCCAACCTTCCCTCCCTCTTTCTCTCCTTCCCTCTTTTTCTTTCCCTTCTTCTTCCTTCCTTCTCTACCTGTTTCTTTCCTTGCTTCCTTTGCTCTTTGGTTCCATCCTTCATTGTCTCTTTCCTTCCTTCCTTCCTTCCCTCTTTCATACTTTCTTTCCTTTCTTCCTTCCCTGTCGTTCCTTCTTTCACTTTTTTTCGGTGGTGGCCCTTCGACTCTGGAACTCACTCCCCAAGGACATCACGCATGCCCCAACTCTGGAGTCTTTAGGAGGAGCCTGAAGACATGGTTGTTCCAGTGTGCCTTCCCAGAATAAGGAAACTTCTAGCAATATGTCCCTAAATGAAATTTATCAATGATTTAGGATTGTCTGCACCCCCCTTTCCTCTCCAAAATTCTATCCTAGTTATATATTTCACCTGGTCATGCTCAGCATTATTTTTTTTTAAAAAAATAATTATTACATTTGGCCCAGCCATAGATTTTTAATGCGTTGTTGTGCTATTGTTAATGTTTACTGCTGTTTTTTGTTTATGAGTTTCATATTGTTTTCGTATTGCTGTTGTTGTTTTTGCTGATGTATTGTGGGCTCGGCCTCATGTAAGCTGCACTGAGTCCCTTGGGGAGATGGTAGTGGGGTATAAATAAAGTTTTTTTTATTATTTATTATTATTCCTTCTCTACCTTTCTTTCTTTCCTTCCTTCTCTCCTTCTTTCCTTCCTCCTTTCTGTGTATATGTGTTTTGTGTGTATATATATGTGGTTTTGCACATGCGTTGGAATGTATTTTTTTGGGGTTTTTTGGCTTTTATCTGCTGTGTTTTTCAATGTTTTTATGAATGATGGTCACTCGTTGGTCTGATAGGTGTGTTGTGTCCAATTTTGGTGTCAATTCGTCCAGTGGTCTTTGAGTTCTTTTAATCCCACAAACGAACATTATATTTTTATTTATATAGAAGACTAGGTGTCGCCTGCCACGCGTTGCTGTAGCCCAGTCTGGTGATCTGGAAAATAAAATAATGAGAAAGTGTTGGTTTCTAATCTATGTAATTTCTTTATGCTTACAACAGTATTTCTTGTTGTTTCTTTGTCAGTGTTGATATAGTGTCTGGTTTGCTTAGTATGGAATATGCAACATATCATAGTCCTTCTTTAGGGGCCCCTTTCAAATCTATACTATATCTGTGTGTGTGTGTGTGTGTGTATCATATCTATCTATCTATATCTATGGCTGGATGGCTCTTTGTCAGGAGGACTTTGATTACGTTTTCTTGCCCTGATGAAGGGAGTTGGACTGGGTGGTCTTAAGTATTTTCTGTTGGTCATCGAGGTCTGTGTGGGAAGTTTGCCCCAATTCTGTTGTTTGTAGGGTTCAGAATGCTCTTTGATTGTAGGTGAATTATGAATCCCAGGAACTACAACTCCCAAATGTCAAGGTCTATTTCCCTTAAACTCCATCTGTGTTCATATTTGGGCATATGGAATATTCGTGCCAAGTTTGGTCCAGATCCATCATTGTTTGAGTCCACAGTGCTCTCTGGATGGAGGTGAACTACAATTCCAAAACTCAAGGTCAATACCCACCAAACCCTTCCAGTATTGTATTGTCGAAGGCTTTCATGGCTGGAATCACTCAGTTCTTGTGGGTTTTTTCGGGCTATATGGCCATGTTCTAGAGGCATTTCTCCTGACGTTTCACCTGCATCTAGATGCTTGCCATAGATGCAGGTGAAACGTCAGGAGAAATGCCTCTAGAACATGGCCATATAGCCCGAAAAAACCCACAAGAACTGACCTTCCAGTATTTTCTGTTGGTCAGGGGAGTCCTGTGTGCTAAGTTTGGTTCAATTCCATCGTTGATGGAGTTCAGAATGCTCTTTGATTGTAGGTGAACTATAAATCCCAGCAACTACAACTCCCAAATGACAAAATCATAATTTTTTTGAGTGATGGTCACTCCTTGTGTTGTGAGACGTTTTGTTGCCAAATTTGGTGTGATTTTATGCACAGGGCATTTTTTATATATAGAAGATTGTATTGTATATTACTTGTAAGCCTCTCTGAATCCCTTTCGGGGTGCGAAGGGCGGCATATAAATGTAATAAGTAAATAATAAATAATAATAATTGTTGGCTCATGTTTCACTTGTCCACGAGGACACCCAAGATCTTTTTCACACGTACTGCTCTCGAGCCACGCGTCCCCCATTGTGTATCTTTGCCTTCCCTTATATCCCTTCCTCCCTTCCTTCCCCAGAAGGGACCCATCCGTAGAGAGGGGCCCTCCCACCGTGAAGCGCCGCCTCAGCCACCTGCGCAGCCGCGTCACCGGCTCCTGGCAGAAGGAGAAGGACAAGGTGAAGGATGGGCTTTGGGACCCCCCCCTCCTGCCCCCTCCCACAAAATGAGATATTATTTCTATTAGGTTCTTGTGGGTTTTTTCAGGCTATAGAGCCATGTTCTAGAGGCATTTCTCCTGACGTTTCGCCTGCATCTATGGCAAGCATCCTCAGAGGTAGTGAGGTCTGTTGGAATTAGGACAATGGGTTTATATATCTGTGGAATGGCTGGGGTGGGGCAAAGGGCTCTTCTCTGCTGGAGCTAGGTGTGAATGTTTCAGCTGACCACCTTCATTAGCATTTGAAGGCCTGCCTGAGCCTGGGAAAATCTCTAGCTGGGAGGTGTTAATCTGTGCCTCGTTGTTTCCTCTCTGCTGTTTTGCTGTTGTAATTTTAGAGTTTTTTAATACTGGTAGCCAGATTTTGTTCATTTTCATGGTCTCTTCCTTTCTGTTGAAATTGTCCACATGCTTGTGGTTCAATGGCTTCTCTGTGTAGTCTGACATGGTGGTTGTTGGTGTGGTCCAGCATTTCTGTGTTCTCCAATAATATGCTGTGTCCAGGCTGGTTCATCAGGTGCTCTGCTATGGCTGACTTCTCTGGTTGAAGTAGTCTGCAGTGCCTTTCATGTTCCTTGATTCGTGTTTGGGCAATGCTGCTTTTGGTGGTCCCTATGTAGACTAGAAGCCACTGAAATCCACAGCATGTGGACAATTTCAACAGAAAGGAAGAAACCATGAAAATGAACAAAATCTGGCTACCAGTATTAAAAAAACTCTAAAATTACAACAGTAAAACAACAGAGAGGAAACAATCAGGGACATCTAATCACCTCTCAACAAAAAATTTTCCCAGGCTCAGGCAGGCCTTCAAATGCTAATGAAGGTGGTCAGTTGAAACATTCACACCTAGCTCAGCAAGGAAGAGCTCTTTGCCCCACCCCAGCCATTCCACAGATATATAAACCCATTTTCCTATTCCAACAGACCTCACTACCTCTGAGGATGCTTGCCATAGATGCAGGCGAAACGTCAGGAGAAATGCCTCTAGAACATGGCCATATAGCCCGAAAAAACCCACAAGAACCTAGTGATTCCAGCCATGAAAGCCTTCGACAATACATTATTTCTATTACTATTGTCGTTGTCCTTTCCCAGGTCAAAAGCAAAGAGCGGGAGAAGGAGGCCGTGGGGGAGGCCTCAAACCAGGCCTTGCCGGACGCTGCCAACAGTGAGTATGAGACCAAATTGGATTGCATGGTTGCTATGGCGATGGGATGGAGGAGGAGGAGCTAACCAAGATCTCGCGATAGTTTGGCGGCTACCCAAAATAGTTGGCAGAAGAGAGGCGTCGCCTTATCCCGAAGTCCCACCCGTTCTCTCTCAAAATCACGCGAGGTTTCCCCGGAAACCGCCTAGAGTTGCCGCGGGAAGTCGGCAATTCTCGCGATAGGCAGGTCAGAAAGGAGACGGTCGCCGTTCCGGAGGAGAAGCCGCGTCGCTCTCGCAGGTGAGGCGGCGGCGGCGGTGGCGGCGGCGTATGACGTCATAGGCAAAGCCCCTTCCCTCAGAGTTTGAAATAACTGGGGGGCGCCTTGAAGTCCACGCCTTGTAAACTGCATCGAAATAGTAATAATACTAGTAATGGGGTTGCTGTGAATTTTCTGGGCTATCTGGCCATCTTCCAGCAACATTCTCTCCTGACATTTCGCCTGCATTTGTCGTGAGGTTGTGAGGTCTGGCAATTGGGATTTTATACCTTTCCAGGGTGGGAGAAAGAACTCTTGTCTGTTGGAGGCGGGCGACTAAAATGATCAAGGGTCTGGAGAACAAGCCCTATGAGGAGTGGCTTAAGGAGCTGGGCCTGTTTAGCCTGAAGAAGAGAAGGCTGAGACTCTTTGATGTCTGGAGAACAAGCCCTATGAGGAGTGGCTTAAGGAGCTGGGCATGTTTGGCCTGAAGAAGAGAATGCTGAGATGAGATATGAGCATAGGAGCATAGTGTCTAGATCTAGGGAAGTCATGCTCCCCCTCTATTCCGCCTTGGTTAGACCACACCTGGAATATTGTGTCTAATTCTGGGCACCACAATTGAAGAGAGATATTGACAAGCTGGAATGTGTCCAGAGGAGGGCGACTAAAATGATCAAGGGTCTGGAGAACAAGCCCTATGAGGAGCGGCTTAAGGAGCTGGGCATGTTTAACCTGAAGAAGAGAAGGCTGAGAGGAGATATGAGCATAGGAGCCTAGTGTCTAGATCTAGGGAAGTCATGCTCCCCCTCTATTCCGCCTTGGTTAGACCACACCTGGAATATTGTGTCCAATTCTGGGCACCACAATTAAGAGATGATGACAAGCTGGAGTGTGTTCAGAGGAGGCCGACTAAAACGATCAAGGGTCTGGAGAACAAGCCCTATGAGGAGCGACGTAAAGAGCTGGGCATGTTTAGCCTGAAGAAGAGAAGGCTGAGAGGAGATATGATAGCCATGTATAAATATGTGAGAGGAAGCCACAGGGAGGAGGGAGCAAGCTTGTTTTCTGCTTCCCTGGAGACTAAGACGCGGAACAATGGCTTCAAACTACAAGAGAGGAGATTCCATCTGAACATGAGGAAGAACTTCCTGACTGTGAGAGCCGTCCAGCAGTGGAACTCTCTGCCCCGGAGTGTGGTGGAGGCTCCTTCTTTGGAAGCTTTTAAACAGAGGCTGGATGGCCATCTGTCAGGGGTGATTTGAATGCAATATTCCTGCTTCTTGGCAGGGGGTTGGACTGGATGGCCCAGGAGGTCTCTTCCAACTCTTTGATTCTATGAGGCAGGTGTGAATGTTGCTATTGGCCACCTTGCTTAGCATTGAATGGCTTTGCAGCTTCTAATTCTCGCTTCTTCCTGCTGAACATGAGGAAGAACTTCCTGACTGTGAGAACCGTTCAGCAGTGGGACTCTCTGCCCTGGAGTGTGGTGGAGGCTCCTTCTTTGGAAGCTTTTAAACAGAGCCTGGATGGCCATCTGTCAGGGGTGATTTAAACGCAAAATTCCTGCTTCTTGGCAGGGGGTTGGACTGGATGGCCCATGAGGTCTCTTCCAACTCTTTAATTCTATGATTCTATATGACTCTATGGGGGAATCCTTTGTTGGGAGGTGTTAGCTGGACCTGGTTGTTTCCTGTCTTCCCCAGTTCCTTATTCACTGGCCTGATTTTAGTGTTTTTTTAAAAAAATATTGGCAGCCAGATTTTGTAAATTTTCATGGTTCTCTCCTTTCTGTTGAAATTGTTCCACATGCTTCTTGTGGATTTCAATGGCTCCTCTGTGTGGTGGTTGTTGGAGTGGTCCCGCATTGTTTTGGTGTTGCAGCTCTTCTCATGTCTGTGGTGGGGGCATCAGAACCTCAAAGGATGCCTGCCATAGATGTGGGCGAAACGTCAGGAGAGTATGGGATGGATACATTGTAGGTTTTTTCGGGCTGTATGGCCATGTTCTCTAGAACATGGCCATATAGCCAGAAAAAACCTACAACAACCCAGTGATTCCGGCCATGAAAGCCTTCGACAATACGTCAGAAAAGAATGCTTCTGGATCATGGCCATACAGCCCAAAAAACTCACAGGAACACAATAATAAATAGAAAATAAGTAACAAAAATTATTATATTATAATATAATATTATAATATATTTTAAAATAATATTATATTATAATAAAATATGATTATATTTACCCCATAGAATCATAGAGTTGGAAGAAACCTTGTGGACCATCCAGTCTAACTCCTTTCTGCCAAGAAGCAGGAAAATTGCATTCAAAACACCCCCGACAGATGGTCATCCAGCCTCTGATTCAAAGCCTCCAAAGAAGGAGCCTCCACCACACTCCTGGGGCATAGAATCATCGAGTTGGCCATCCAGTCCAACCCCCTGCCAAGAAGCAGGAATATTGTATTCAAATCACCCCTGACAGATGTCCATCCAGGCTCTGTTTAAAAGCTTCCAAAGAAGGAGCCTCCACCACACTCCGGGGCAGAGAGTTCCACTGCTGAACGGCTCTCACAGTCAGGAAGTTCTTCCTCATGTTCAGATGGAATCTCCTTTCTTGTAGTTTGAAGCCATTGTTCCGCATCTTAGTCTCCAGGGCAGCAGAAAACCAGTTCGCTCCCTCATCCCTATGACTTCCTCTCACATATTTATACATGGCTATCATATCTCCTCTCAGCCTTCTCTTCTTCAGGCTAAACATGCCCAGCTCTTTAAGCCGCTCTTCATAGGGCTTGTTCACCAGACCCTTGATCATTTTAGAGAGAGAGTTCGAGTTCCACTGCTGAACAACTTTCCCAGTTAAGAAGTTCGTCCTCATGTTTAGGTGGAATCTCCTTTCCTGTAGTTTGATGATAATAATAATAATAATAATAATAATAATAATAATAATAAATGTTATAGGTTGTCTTTTAATATGCTTTTGACAAAATTATTATATTATTACAATATAATATTATAAAATATTAAAAGAATTTTATATTATAATAAAATATTAATATGTTTACCGCACAATAATGGCAAATAATGTTTTAGGTTGCCTTTTAATATGCTGTTGACAAATTTTATTGTAATATTATAGAATGATAAAATATGTTATAATAAGCATTATATTTTATGTTATTACATTATGTTATAATAATAATAACAACAACACTGATATTATCTATGGGGAGGGATGGGCAAGAAATTCTATTATTGTTATTATTATTAATTATTAATATGCACTCCTCTGACTTCCTCCTATCCATGGAGACTGGTGGACAAGAAATAATAATAATAATAATAATAATAATATAAATGTATTATCCATGGAAAGAGGTGGGCAAGATATATTATAATTAATAATAATAATGTTGCATAATATATGCTGCTCAGACTGGCTTCTATCCACGGGGAGAGGTGGACAAGCAATAATAATAATAATAATAATCTTGTATTTAATCCATGGGGAGAGGTAGGCAAGCAATTCTGTTGTTGTTATTGTTGTTGTTATATTATATATGCTGCTCTGACTTGCTTCTATCCATTGAGAGAGGTGGGCAACAACAGCAATAATAATAACAACAACAATGTTGTATTATCCATGGGGAGAGATGTGTATGAAATTATATTATTATTAATAATAATGTTGATATTAATGCTGTATTATAAGTGGTGCTCTGGCTTGCTTCTATCCACGGGGAGAGGTAGATAGGCAATAATAATAGTAATAATAAATAATAACAATAACAACAGCATACACTGCTAATACTGCCAGTATTAATATTAATGTTGTATTATATGTGCTGCTTTGATTTGCTTCTATCTATGTGGAGAGGTAGATAAGCAATAATAATAATAATAATAATAATATTAACTGCGAATACCTCCAGTTCCCCACGATTATGTTGATCAGTTCATTAAATCCTGGTTCAGAGTTGAGAATACCTAACACCCTTGGTCAATAATGTGCTGCACCCATTGTGTTTGCTCACTGGGTAAAATAGGGCTTGTTGCCCAGTTAATACTCTCCGGCCTTCTCTTCCTCATCAGTCCTCTCATTTTCCTCTTCTTCTCCCCTCCTTCTACCTCTCCTCTTCCTTATCCATCCTTCCCTCCTTCATCTCTTCTTTTCCCCTCATCCCCCTTCTCCTCTTCCCTCCTTCTTCCCTCTCCTCCTTTTCCTCTTTGTCATTCCTCCTTCCTCTCCTCTTCACCCCTCATTCCCGTCCTCTTCTTTTTCCCTCCTCCTTCCTCTCCTCCTCCCCCTCCTCCTTCTGCTCCTTTTCCTCTTTCCTCCTTCCTCTCCTCCTCCTTCTCTTCATCTGTCTTTTTCCTCTTCTTCCCTCATTTTTTCCTCCTCCTTTTCCTCCTTTTCCCCTCTTTCTCGTACCTCGTCCTTCCTCTTCTCATCCTCCTTCTCTCCTTCGTCCTTTTCCTATAACTCCTCCTTCTCTTTCCCCTTCTTCCCTCTCCTTCTTTTCATCCCTCCTTCTTCCTCTCCTCTTCCCTCCTTCTTCTTTCTCCTCCTCATCCATCTTTCTCTCTTTTTCCTCTTCTACTTTTTCCCTCTTTCTCATCCCTCCTTCTTTATCCCCCCTACTTCTTCCCTCCTCCTCCTTCTCTTTCTCTTCTCCTTCTCTTCCTTCTTTCCTTTCCTCATTTTTCACTCCTTCTAACTCTCCTCCTCTTCCTCATCTCTCCTTCTTCCCTCTTTCTCATCCCTCCTTTTTCTTCTTCTCGTCTTCTTCTTCCCTCCTCCTTCCTCTCTTCCTCTTCTCCCTCCTCCTTCTGTCTTTGTCATCCCTCCTTCTTCCTCTTCTATTCATTTTTTCCTCCTTCTTCCTCTCCTCTTTCTCCTCCTCTTTCTTATTCCTCTTCCTCTCCTCTCCTTTCCTTCTTCCCTCCTTCTTCCTCTCCTCCTCGTGCATCCTTCTCCCCTCCCTCTTCCCTCTTTTCCTCCCTCCTTCTCTCTCATGGAGAAGGAATCCATCCCTTCATCATAAACATGTCCTCCCAATGTTTACGCAAGTGGACGAATCCCAGGCTTCTTCAAGGAGAAGCAAAACAACATTGTGTCCTTCCATGTTTTATAGCAGGCCTTTGGGACAGGGGGGAGACTCCCTGCAGCAGTATCAATAGGCCTATGATTGAATGTTTCATTCCTGCCATTCTGGGCACCACTGGGGAAGAAATAATAATAATAATAATAATAATAATAATAATAATAATAATAATAATAATAATAATAATAGTTTTTTCATGTCAGGAGCAACTTGAGAAACTGCAAGTTGCTTCTAGTGTGAGAGAATTGGCAGTCCTCAAGGACGTTGCCCAGAGGATGCCCGAATGCTTTACCAACCTGTGGGAGGCTTCTCTCATGTCCCTGCATGGAAAGCTGGAACTGACAGATGGGCGCTCACCCCACTCCATGGATTCGAACCGTCGACCTTTTGGTCAGCAGTCCTTCCATCACGTCACTAATAATTGCGTCACTGCGAGCTAATAATAATAATAATAATAATAATAATAATAATAATAATTGGAGTGTGTTATATAATTTATCCCCCTCTGACCCAGAGACAACCAATACCCGTTTGCATTGTCTGGATTGAAGCAGAAAAAAACAAAGTCTTCAGGGCAAAGTGAGGTTGCAAAATACCTGAGTACTCGGGCATTATCGGTTACACATTAGCCCATGGCGTTGCTTTTAATGCACCCTATTTTAGCTAGAACTTCATGCTGGACATGTCAGCCCTGGAGCGACCCCAAGAAACAACTTGAAGGTTCACCTTCGTGTTACATCTTTTCTTCTTGTATTATATATTCTGCTCAGACTTGCTTCTATCCATGGAGAGAGGATAATAATAATAGTAATAATAATAATAATAATACACCCAAACATTTGTTTCTATCCATGGGGAGAAGTGGACAAGAAATAATAATAATAATAATAATAATAATAATAATAATAATAATTAATGTTGAATTATTCATGGAGAGAGGTGGGCAAGAAATTATATTAATATTAATGTTGTATTATATGTGCTGCTCTGACTTGCTTCTATCCATGGCTAGAGGAGGGAGGACGAATCTGGATGACAATCTTCCCTTTGGCTGGGAAACTTCAAGCAGAATTGCTTTGAGGCGGAAGAAGCAGCGACTGGTGTCTCAGTTTCTGCTTTCGCTCTCACTCATTTCAACTTCCTAGATGCTCCAAATGCCTTTCAGGGTGAGGTCAGGCCTTGGGAGTTCCTGGTCTGCAAACTCGTTTCAACCAGATACTGGTTTGGGTCCGAACATGTTCAGGCCAGCTGAGAGGGTGAGAAAAGAAAAAAGAACCCAAGACTGCAGTCAGAGCAGATTATTATTATTATCAATAATAATAATAATAATAATAATAATTATAATTATAATTATAATAGCAGAAAGCCCAGGGGCCATCTAGTCCAACCCCCTTCTGCCTTCATGCAGTTAGAGGACAATCAAAGCACTCCCAACAGATGGCCATCCAGCCTCAATAATAATAATAATAATAATGATAATAATATACTTGGAAGAAAGAAGAAGAACTTTATTTTTCTACCCCGCCTCCATCTCCCCGAAGGGACTCAGGGTGGCTTGCATGGAGCCAAGCCCAGGGAACATACAATTAAAAGCAGAGCAATAACAAAATGCAATTTAAAAACATTAAACAAACAACAATAATAGACAAGTGTCAAGCAACAAAAGAACTAAGGGGGTGGGGAAGGCCAAAAATACGAGCTGATTAAAGAGTAATTGATTCAGCAAGGTGGATGAAAATGTGCCATAGCATAGGAAATATCATTAAAACAGAGCAATCTAACAGGATCAGAAATAATTCAGTATGACTTATAAAATCTGAATAGTAATGTAATATAGGAAATTCAAGTTGAATGATAATTAGGTTGCAATACCGGTCGTATGTCATGGGGTCGTCAGTCAAATGCACAACGAAACATCCATGTTTTTAATTCCTTACAGAATGTGGCTGGGGAGGGCGCTAGCCTGATCTCCCTGGGGAGGGAGTTCCAGAGATGAGGGGCCACCACTGAGAATGCCCTTTCCTTCGTCCCCAACAATTGCGCCTGAAACGGGGGCGGGAGCGAGAGAAGGGCATCCCCGGACGATCTTCTTGGCAGGGGGTTGGACTGGATGGCCCATGAGGTCTCTTCCAACTCTTTGATTCTATCTTAAGGAACGCGTGGTCTCATAGGGGAGGAGGCGGTCGCGCAGATCGACAGGTTCTGGACCATTTAGAGCTTTATAGGTAAAAACCTGCACTTTGAATTGGGACTGGAAACTTATCGGCAGCCAGTGGAGCTGTTTAAACAGGAGGGTTGACCGCTCCCTGTAACTTGCTCCAGTTAACAACCTGGCTGCCGACTTTTGCACCAGCTGTAGTTTCCGAACCATCTTCAAGGGCAGCCCTATGTAGAGAGCATTACAGCAGTCCAGTCTTGAGGTAATTAAGGCGTGGACCACCATGGTCAAGTCAGAGATCCCCAAAGGCCATCCAGTCCAACCCCCTTTTGCAATAATAATAATAATAATAATAATAATAATAATAATAATAATAATAGAGTTGAAAGAGATCCCCAAGGGCCAGCTAGTCCAACCCCTTCTGCCTTCATGCAGCAAAAGCACAATCAAAACCCTCCTGACAGATGGCCATCCAGCCTCAATAATTAAATTGATTTGAAATTGAACCTGATCACATAGCCCAAGGCTGATTCTCTCCTCCTTCTCAGACTGCACAACCATTGCCCACAGAAGCGGCAAGAGCCTTGCAACTGAATGCAACATCACCAGCAGCAGCAGACTCAAGGTAGGACTATTTATTTATTATTTATTTATTTACAGCTTTTATATTCCACCTTTCTCACCCCGCAGGGGACTCAGGGCGGATTACAGTGTACACATATATGGCAAACATTCACTGCCAATTTTGACATACAACATATACAGACATAGACAGAGGCTATTAACTTTTTCTGGCCGCCAGGGGAGCTGTCGCTTTCATCTTCCATCTGCGACACTGATGAAGTACTTCCACATTCCCCACATGCTTTGGCTGGAGTGCTTTGCTGGAGTCTTTTTTATGGCCTCATAAATTAGTTAATTTAGCCTCCCCACACTATAAGGTGGTACCTAATTTTCCTACTTGACAGATGCAACTGTCTTTCGGGTTGCAAAGGTCGACAACAGGCTACACAATTGGTTGGAAACCCACTCCAACCCGGGCTGGCTTCGAACTCATGACCTTTTGGTCAGAGTGATCTTAATGCAGCTGACACCACAACTCCCACACTCCCTGCCACTAAGTCCAAAACACAAATGGATCTTTGCATTCCATGATGGGTAAGGTGACGCAGATGGGTGCTTCTTACACCAAAGCGTGTTACATCTGCTTTTCTCTGCATTGTGGAATAGAATAGAATAACTCAAAAGGAGACTCAAAGCGGCTATGTATCTATTATTAGAATGTATTACATTCTAATACTAATAATAGATACAGAGCCGCTTTGAGTCTCTAGGTGGAGAGAAAAAGCAGAGTATAAACATCATAATAACAACAATAATAATACATTCTAATGCTATTTGTATTAGAATGTATTATTACTATTGTTATTGTGTTTATTTATATCCCTCCTTTTCTCTCCACAAGGAGACTCAATGCGGCTGTGTATCTATTATTATTTTATTTTATTTTATATTATCTAAATACATATTTAAACTAAATGTGGATGTATATATATGCGTGTATGTGTCTATCCATGCCTTGGTATTATCTTGAAGCCTAAGGAACCCCCTCCATTCTCATTTATTTCTTTTCCTTTGCAGCAAAAGGATTTGCTGTTCTGCCCTCCTAGTCCTTTGCAAG